GGGGGGGGGGGGGGGGGGGCGGCCAAAATTGTTTTTGCTTTGGGCGGCAAAAATCCTAGAGCCGGCCTTGCCCAAGAGGCAAAGTATCATGCAAGATGTTTGGTGTCTCTCTACAACAAAGCCAGGGAGAAGAAAACTGAGCAAAGCAACACAGAGAAGAAATCACGTGGGATTGCCTTTGCTGAACTGATAGCATACACTGAAGAGACAAGACTGAATGAAGACGTGGCTCCATTCTTTAAACTAGAAGACCTCGAAAGGCTCTTGTAGCGGGGTGGCTACCCCGCTCCTGCCGGGAAGGGCTTAAAACAGCCCTGGCAGAGGGCTGCAGCTCTAAAAGCTGGGCTGATGGAAGTAGCCACAACTGGGCCACGCCCCAATCAGGCCCCAGCTGGCCTGTATAAAAAGGCTGGGAGCCAGAGGCCAAGGAGTCTCTCTCTGCGTTCAGAGGGAGAAGGGCCTGGCTGCAGGGAGCTAAGACAGAGTACCTGGGTGGAGCAGGGCTGGGGAAAGGCTGAGGAGCTGGGGAGCTCCAACCTGGATAGCCCCAGGCTGCGGCCTAGTATTAGGCCAAGGGGTACTGGGGGTTGCAGAGGGCAGCCCAGGGCTAGGCCAAGGCAGCAGGTCCAAACCCAACCTTACCTGTGATGAGTGGCCTATACTGCAGTCTGCCCCAGGGAGCGGGGGCTAGTTGGTGACTGGCAGTGGCCTTATTCTGAGGTGAGGTAGGGATAGTGGGTGGGGGTTCCCCAGGGAGGGGAGACCCTAGTACTGAGGGGTGTACTGCCAGCGGGTAGCACCCCAGATACAAGGGCACCGGGGTCCGGGAGGGACACGGGGCCAGAGGACAGGTGGATCACCAGCCTGCAGGGGGCGCTCCAGGACACTGGAAGAGCTAATTCCCGAGACGACCAGCAGGAGGTGCCGCAGGGGTGAGTCCAGACCGTCTACAGCTCTATACAGCTAGACTAGAACAGCTGGGGATGACACTGGCAGGGCGCATTCACAGCACTGAACTAAAATCCCATATAATTTCACATACTCCGGATCTCCAAGCACACATGATGTGCTCCTTGCCTTCAATTAGGATATTGGACATGCACTCCAAAAAGCATGTGAGGAAGAAGCTCTTTACCTATCCCAAACAGCAACAATTATTCAAAGGGACATGTTTCAAATGAAAACAGAATTTCATGGATAATTTGGATGCCAAGAAACATTTGTTCCCATGTCACTATTGGCACTGATGTCCATGATATTGGATGGTCCAAACATTAAAACTCACTCAGAGCAAGTTTCCATTCATCCAGCTACCTTTAGTTTGGCACACCTGTTGCAGTACAACAGCAATATCTGTCACCATGAAGGAACAGAAAATTTATACCACAACAAAGCATGAGAAATGCATTTACCTATCTATGTTGGTTTAACACTTCGTGCACAGACATGAAAAAGTGAGCTACCAGATACCTTCTTTAAGCTTGGATTGGCCATCTCCTATGGCAGAGTGTTGGCCATCTCTACCAGCAAACAGTGCATGCCAACACTTGGAGGATGAGAATGTAGTCTGTCCTCTAAAGCTTTGTGATGTATTGTTCACTACTGTGGCCATAGACATGACAGAAACAATCCCAGCCCCACCACAGCAACAGACTCCTTCTCTGGAACTAGGATACCACTTTTTCAGCCTCCCAGTACTTAAGTGGAGGGAGATGTCCATGGAATTCCCACCCCTGACTGTGAGACTGTAGTATCAGTGAAGAAGATTTTATCATCACTTTCTGAGTCTTACACAATTGTCCCTCCAGTGATCTTAAGAAAATGAATACTCCCATCCCTGCCACAAATGTTGAAATCAAGACTGACTGCCTACTGATTACCCAAGCCCTGCAAGAAGAATGCAGGTGGCTTGAAGAAGTTAGGCAAGCAGCAAGTCTGGATAACTTCAATGGAGATGAAGACATTTCCTGGGCAACTTACCATGCCAGCAAGCAGCCAATGCCAGACTTCGCTCCAGTCATCAATGTGCTTCTTCCCATCTTTCCAGATGACTCCAAGTCTGTGGCAATGATTCATCATGTCATGGATGTGATGAGGAACGCTATACTCCACCTAAATCCGTGTGAAGTGCCAGTGATCACTGAGGACTAACCCCTTCTCACCATAACCAAACAGATACAGTGGACCTGGCCTGCTGGGTATGGCGAGGACAAATCTGTTATTATGTGGTCTTCATCTGGAAATGGCAAGTTTAACTGGAGATTGGCTAGAAGATAGTGGATGGATAGAAGCCCTTGTTCAGGCCAAAGTGGCCTCCCTAGGAATGGCTGACTTCTTGAAAGTGTGTCATGTCATACGTACTAGGCATGCCCATCGAGTAACTGCCAACAGTCTGTGCATCTTGCTCCAAAATGCACACATACCGTATACCCAACGTCTCAAGGAAGATGAGGTCCTCATGAGGTATAAATGGTGTGACAAGCGAAAATTAGAAAACCCAGTGTTCTACTTCTGGCATACCACACTTCATTTGGATCTACTTGTATTGACCTATGTGCTGTAAATCCACCAGGCAAACTTTGCTCTCTACAGTGAATGCCTTGGAAAGCTCTCACCCTGGTTCTTTGTGTTAGATCATACTAATTATGCTCGTTGGGTGCCTGTTCACTCCAAGATAAGGTAAGCCTTCACACAGTGCATCCAGACACAATTAGAGAGTTCCTAAAAGGAAACATCACAGTTTGCAAGACACAACATGTTTTCTCTGCCGTCATGCTTGACCAGCCTCATGAGCAAAATCATACCATAATCAAAAGGGATGGTGGAGCTGTTGGTCTAACACAAAATACGGAAGCCCTTTGGCTCTGGATGGTAGTGGGACCAAAGATGGCCAGGTTGATAGAGGCTTGAGAAGACTAATAGAGATATCATGTATGTATTGCTATAACTATAGTGCTCTGCATTCTTTGCATACCAGAAACTCATCAAAATGAGTGGACTCATCAAATAAATGGGAATTGAGTTGCACAACAGATGCAATATTTGCCCCTTATTTTTGTTCACACACACGCACACACACACTTTGAAAAAAGAAGAAACAAACAAGTCAATTTTACTTTTATGTTTGACACTCTTAAACCCCAATCCTGGAAATAATGATATACACGAGTAACTTTAGGCACCTGAGTAGTCCTTTTGTAATCAAGAGGGCTACTCATGTGCATAAAGTAAGCATGTACTGTTGTGTTAGGATCAGGGAATAAATTTGTAATTAGGTCCAACGATTGTCAGAAATGAGTTACTGTTTCATTTCAGACCTGATTCTCTGAGGTGCAGTTGACTTTAATATAAACAGAGGGCAATCAATGCCCTATAGGTTCAGACCCTTAGTTACTTTTATTTAAAAGTATGTGCATGTCAGGATGCTATTTAACCTTCAGACATACCAGATGGTTAGCATTGTGATGATTTGTGTTGGCAGCAGTAGTGAGATTTGATATCTATTTCAGCCAAAAGCAAATGCAGTTTAGGCTCTACTTTTGGGATTGCTGCAACAGATCTGATTTAACTTACTTTTGATTTGCGCCACTGTAACTCTAATGATTTCAACGGAATCACACCAGCATGAGAGCAGAAGCAGACCCAATGTTCACCATTTTTGCTGGCTACTCTTTCCCATAGCTTATATATCTGATTTGTGCATTCAAATTTAGGTCAATGTACACTTTATGGGCTCTAACACACACACACTCACACTCACACTTACTTTTACAGGCACAAAATAATACACTGGCTTTGAGACCAACAGAAAATGTAAGTAATTTTTTTAACTTCTCACTGATTCAAATTGGCACAGTTTGACAGCCCTGTATTCTACCAGGATTTTCCATACACTGTGGGAAAAATCCCCTATAGTCCAGATTATCATCTCGTTTACACAATTAGGAATTCAAAGTAACTCCAATTAAATCAATCACCTTTCTCAAGCAAAAGATTGATTAGAGCAGAGCTTCAGCAGACTGCATTGAACAGAATGCAGGCTATCCACAGCCACTGCATTTATACTTGGCCCAATACTGTGTCTAGAATCTGTCACTGTTAGTCATTCATGCTGTAACATATGGAATAAGGTTTTTATTTGCTGGGTCTTTCCCCTCCCAGTTCTGCAACGTGTTGACACTGCTATGAAATAGATTGTGAGGAAACGGTGATAAGAAGGGATTTGTTCTGGTTGCTGGACGGCGTGTGAATATTTGCCTCCTATAAATAAGTCTCTCCCTCTCTCTCTCGCTCTCTGTTTATTAGGAGAACCCTGGCTCCCTCTGATTGAGCTGCAGGTTTCTATGGAGACAGCGTCCTGGCAACAACTCTCAGCAGCCGTTTTCTTCCCATCTACCAGGCCTAGTGGCAGCAGGCCCCGCGGAGAGGGAGAGGACCTGGCTGCCACTAGCAGCAGGAAGGGACGGATGGACATCCAGGCTGTCTAGCTGCGCTCTATGAATCTTTGCATACAGCTATCCCAGAAGTAAAAACATATTAAAAAGCCGAGCAGAGACATCCAGCAGAGAGGTTGCTAGGATGCAAGGGAAGGATGGGCAGCCATGTCCTGCCCTAATCCAACACTGGTGAGTGAATACAGCAGCTTTAATACGACTAAGAGTCTGTCTGAACTTTGCCCCTCTCTGTCGCATGACAATATGGTGATGTTTGTGTTGTGCTGTTATGTCAATTTCCCCCCATCGTAGCATTTCCACAATCATCCCCATATTCTCAGACGATCCCTCATGGAGGTGTGCTGCAGTCATTTTAGGGGACCTGTAAAACTTCATAATGTGGCAATGCAGTGTATGTAGTGTAAGGGCTTGTTTGATGTAGCAAAGTGATGGGCTTTTTGTTTTTTGACCCATCCTCACACTGAGTCATGACACAATAACATTTCTATTCACTCCAAAACACCATCCTGGTATGTTGCAATGCTCCAGTGCAACATTGTGATTCCTGAGTTTGTCCCTGCCACGCACTCTCAAAGGGCCCCTGGTCACAACATTGTGTCGCCTCCAGAGGTATTCCTGGACTGTTTTGAGACAGGAAGGATGGTCCAGTGGTTTGGGCATTAGCCTAGGACTTGGGAGGCCCTTAGAGTCCTTGCTCTGCTATCAACTTCTTGTGTGGATTTAAGACAAATCACTTAGCTTCTCTGTGCCTGAGTTCCCTGACTCTAAAATGGGGATAATAGCACTTCCCTACCTCACAGAGGTGTTGTGAAGATAAATCCATTGCAGACTCTGAGGTACTCGGATTCTATTGTATGTACCTTAGGTAGATTTCAATGTTATGAAAGTTACAGAACAGAACTGCTACCATTGTGACTTAAAAGAAGGGGCAAGTGGAAAACTGTGTATGGTACTTGTACGGCCCTCATTGTCATAGAATCTGAGCACCTCAAAATCTGTAATCTATTTATCCTCACAACACCCCAGTGAGGTAGAGCAGTGCTATTGTTCCCATTTTACAGGTGGGTCTCTGAAGCACAGAGAACTAAGTGACTTGTTCAAGGCCACACAAGAAAACTATCACAGAGCAGGGAATTGAGCCCAGTCTCCCAAGTCCTAAGCTGGTGCCTAAATCATTGGAACATCCTTCTTTTCATCCCCCCAGAAATCAAATGTGCAGGGCAATGGGTGCTTTCAATGTGTGGCAGAGGGAGAGGTATGCAACAACAAAACAGGATCAAACCTGAATTTATGTATGTCTGTTTCCTTAATCTTGCATGCAGCTTTATCTTTAGTTTCAAGTTTTGCATTTCTGACGTCAATGATTTACAGGAATAACAGTGAGGTATTCCAGGTTCATATGAGACAGAAATTGTGGTAGGCCTCAAGTGAGTGAGTATCTTTACAATCAGGTATGGAACTTACAGTTGTGAGATATCCATGTAGCTGCAATAGGACAAATGTAGAATATTCAGAAAAGAACTCTTGAAATAATACTCTCGTAAATCTGATAATATTGACTTACTGTCTTGTGCTTTAAGTTACTGTATCATATCAAACAGCAGTAAAATTAATTGAAAATAACTACTGACTTAAAAGGTTAAACATTTGGGGCCTGGACCTCTATTAGGTTCAGTGGAACTATGTCAATTTACACCAGCTCAGGAACTGATCCTGAGAGTTATATTTTTCTTTTGCTGCATACCTGTTAACATTAATGGATATTACACACATACATAGAGAGGGAATATAACTATTAGTTCTGACATGTAGCTATTATTATTTACAGGACATATATACACTTCCAGAACTGCAGAGAGCTGCGTGGAATTTAAATGCTGGTGGACAAGATGCTGGAGACTTGGTCCCTGAAAAAGTGCTGAATGTAGGGCTTGATCAAGTTAGTGGGAATATTTCCATTGACTTGAAAGGGCTTTGGATCAGGCCTTTACTGAGGCTTGCCTGTTAGACAAACAGAGCCCAATCCTGAGGTCCTTACTCAGTGCATATTCAGTACATAGTAGAGCAAAATCCCAGGGTATGTCTACGCTGGAATTAAACACCCGTGGCTGGCCAGTGTCAGCTGGCTCGGGCTTGCAGGGCTCAGGCTGCGGGATTCTAAAATTGTGGTCTAGACGTTCAGGCTCAGGCTGGAACCTGGGCTCTGGGACCCTCCCCCTCTTGTGGGGTCCTGTGAATGTCCTCACAGCAATTTCACAGCCCTGTAGGGCATGTCTACATTGCCCCACAGTTCGGACCAAGGGGGCATGCATAGCTGTGGGCACCAAAGTGCTGTGCTGTAACTCCCCCTTGTGGGTGCTGCAGGTAAGAACATACAGGTCATGAGTTCTCTGTAAACAATAACAGTTATGTACCAGATCTAATAGGTATATTCCCTCTGGGGACCTTTTAAGTTCACACCTGCAGCATCCACACAGGGAGTTACAGCGCAGCATTTTAGTGTGCACTGCCATTCAGACTCTTAGTCCGAACTGTGGGGGAACGTAGACATGCCCCCAGTATCATTCAGGATGACATAACTGCCTCAGAATGTCATTGGAGGTGTGTGAGGTCTCAGCATCAGAGAGATCTGAGTGTGTACTGCAGAACTAGCACTAGGTATAATCAGAATAAGCAATTGGTTAGGACCCTGAGCATTTCAAGGGGGCCCCCTATTAATTATTAGTATGTGTTGTGTGTGTTGGGGGGCCAAGTATTTCTGCTTAGGGCCGGCAATGGCCTACCACCACCACTGGTCTACGGAGTGATGTGTTTAAATTAAAAATGACAAATAACTGAATATTTCATATTTAGAAATATTGTTTCAGACGAATCAGTGCCTTTGGTGGCTTTTAGGACAATTTGTATTTGAATGTACATCTGTGACTAATCCTGCAGTCTTTCTGCACCCAGACATTGACTTCAGTGGGAGTTACAGATGCACAAGTATGGCAGGATGAAGCCATTGTGAGCTGAGGTAAAAAAACAAACCACATTTAAGATATACTGTCAATTATGTTTTAAAATAGTTTAATATTTTGTTTTGAGTTTTTGGAACAATATCCAGGTCCTTAGTGATTTAAATCAGGGATAGGGCCATTGAAGTCAATGAGACTATTCACATATTTAAAATTAAGCTGTGCTTAAATGGTTTGCTGCGTCAGGGCCATTAACATGCAGTTTGACCTAGTGGAATGAGCACAGATCCAGGCCCTGCCACTGATTCACTGTATGACCTCTTTGGGCAAGTCATTTAACGTCACTGGCTAAATTTCCCCAATTGTGATAATAGTGCTAACCAAACCTACCTCACAGACTGTTGTGAGGATAGCCCTCAGATGAGTAATCCATTGTCTTAATGACACTTAGGGCAGGTCTACACTACCGCAGGGATCGACACTCTGTGATCGATCCACCGGCGGTTGATTTAGTGGGTCTACTAAAGACCCACCAAATCGACAGCAGATCGCTCTCCAGTTGACCCCTGTACTCTACCCCCAGTGAAAATAGTAAGGTAAGTCAATGGGAGATTTTCTCCCATCGACCCCCCGCGGTGTAGACCCTGCGGTAACTCAACCTAAGGTACGTCGACTCCAGCTACATTATTCACGTAGCTGGAGTTGTGTAGCGTAGCTCGACTTGCCGCAGTAGTGTAAACACAGTCTTAATGGAGATGACTTTTGTGAGGAACAGTTTGTAGGATTCGGCCCTTGGTATCTGTACAGTGTCAGAATGTGTAAATAATAATAATACCTATCTCTAATATAATGCTTTTCATTGTAGATCTCCAAGCACTTTACAAAGAAGGTCAGGATCATTATCCCCATTTTACAGATGGAGAAACTGAGGCACAGAGGAGATTTGCTCAGGGGCACCCAGCAAAGCAGAAGCAGAGCAGGGAATTGAAGTCAGGTCTCCTCAGTCCCAGTCAGTGTCCTGGCCACTTACTACAGTGTTTCTCATTAAAATGGGGCTGTCTTTAAAAAAAAAAAAATTTTTATTCATGGAATGCTGTGCTGTAAGTGGAACACACATACTGCTACAAAAATGCTCTCTGTTTTCTAAGCAGTGCCTTGAAACATGTTCTAATGCATGAACATGAGGTGTATTTTGATACGTTTTCAGGATATCCCTCACAGGTTTTTTGAACATCAAAAGTTGACACTTGTATTAAAATAACCTGTTTTCTCCTTCCATCTGTTCACCATATTGCACCAAGTTTCATCAGCAATTGCAAAACTGTTTTCATAGATCAGATCTCTTAGTTTTCTGTAGCAATTCTGAGTTCACATGGAATTCAGGATCAGGCCCAATGTGAAAAAGGAGCGATCCTTGCTACGTCTGTAATAGGATCCTCGGTGGGCTGAAGGGCCTAGTGGTTAGTGTCCACTCATTCATGGGGCAGTGGTAGGGTAGCCTGGACCCACCCACTCCACTGGGCTCTGACCCAGGGCCCGAGGAGGGTCAGCAGTATTTGCCTGCAGGGAGGGGCTCTCTGAGCTACTTTCCCTGGGTCACTTCCTACCACTGCTTCACTCCCTCAGCTTCTGGTCCCAGATAAAGAGAAAAGAAAAATGAAAAGGAAACCCAATTGCCAGCCCAGATGGGCTCTGCATAAGTCCTGTTCCTTCAGGGAGGCTTCTCCAGCCCGCCTTCAGGATTGGTCTGCACTCCTCCCCAACCTCCCCCTTCGGAGCTTGGTTGCTCCCTTTTCACCCCTGTCTCCAGATGGAGCATGCTCTGCAGGGTTGGAGGGGTGGGGCTAGCTGGGCCCAGTACTGCCCTTTAACCCCTTCCAGCCCAGTGTGAGGTTTGTATACCCCACTACAATGTCAAAAACATTTATTTTTAGATGGCATAGAGTAGATGGATTTGGTTACAGCTACCACTCCTTTTTACAAATAACCTACTGAGCCAAATTCTGATCTCATTTACACTGGTATAAATCCAGTGTTGCTGCATTGAAGTTAATAGAGTTACACGGGTGCAAGTGTTATCAGAATCTGTGGTTATTACCATATGTATGATGGCTATTTGAAATAGAAAACAAATGGTTAAAAGACTAAATTTTAACTAGATTTTCAGTGACCTCTGTTTCTACAGGCACAAGTTAGTTAGATGTCTTACTGCCAATATTTGAACCTGCATAACATATTATCCCATATAATGTACTGTCTCTTAAACATTTTTGTTCCATTCTTCAGCAAATACATCCTTAACATTATATATCATCCTGACTGTTTTATTTTTGTATTAACCATTGATGCTAAAACATTTCCTATTACTAGGAATATTCTATTGTTTCCCTTCCGTGCCATAGGTTAGCAGTGTCGACCTTAGTTGGTGATTTCCCAGTTCCTGATGCTGGAGATGCATTAGCTAACAGACTTTGTTTATTTTTGTGTGGGGTTTCCTCTCTTCCTTAAGGCTGCTCTACCCAACTACAACTGAGTCAGGGGACCTGGTTAAAACATGGCTGGCTCCTGACCCAGTACACTAGGGTTAACATTTCCATTATTAAATTGGAAAGTCTATTATATTGGAAACACAGTTAGGTCTGCTCCACAGAGTACAGTGTTGTAGAATCTATTTGTCTCTCAAAACAAGCTTTCAAATGGCTGGGTTACTTAAATGTAATACTAATGGCCACATTGTGATACACTTACCTATGTTGAATAGTACATTACACCATGAATACGTCTACTCTATAAGAGGTACTACTCGATAGGAACAAGAGTATCACAGCCTAGCTATGAAGTGAGTGGGGTTCATTTGGCTAACTATAAATCTTTCTTGTAAGGATTTTTGGTTTTAAATTACCGATTTAATGAATATTTCAGCTGGGAATATGTCTCTTAACTTGGGATATTTTAAAATTTTCTGGAGGTTGGTAATTCTGGGGTACAACTGTAGATACTAACAACCAGACACTCACTATTAATTGATCCATGCAAAAGTTAACCATAACTGAGAGGGGCGTGTCAGCTTTCACTGAATTTTCTTGCTTTTACTGCTTTTTAAATCACAGTTAGAATTATTTCTATGTAATTTTTGTATATCAAGTTAGAGTTGGATCAGAAAGATATAGCGATTTAGAAAGTTGCAGGTGCCTGTGAATATTGGGTTTGTTTAGATGACCACAGATGTCAATGTATAGGGACTGTCCATACGAACACTTAACACCTGGCAAGTTGGAGTGTTAATCTACCCCACACTAGCCTGCTGTGCACTAAAGTGTCTGTGTGGACCCTGCTGATGCACACTGAAAGTTCCGAAGTGCACTTAAATTATGTTGCTTCAAAATGGGAGTAAATAAATTAATGGAGATATCCTACCTCCTAGAACTGGAAGGGACCTTGAAAGGTCATCAAGTCCAGCCCCCTGCCTTCACTAGCAGGACCAAGTACTGATTTTGCCCCAGATCCCTAAATGGCCCCCTCAAGGATTGAACTCACAACCCTAGGTTTAGCCAGGCCAATGCTCAAACCACTGAGCTATCCCTCCCCTATAGATCAGGGATCGGCAACCTTTGGCACGCGGCTCACCAGGGTAAGCACCCTGGCAGAACGGGACGGTTTGTTTACCTGCCGCGTCTGCAGGTTCAGCCTATCGCGGCTCCCACTAGCTGCGGTTCGCCGTCCCAGGCCAATGGGGGCTGCGTGAAGCGGCGCGGGCCGAAGGATATGCTGGCCACCTCTTCCCGCCGCTCCCATTGGCCTGGAGTGGCAAACTGCGGCCCGTGGGAGCCGCGATCGGCCGAACCTGAGGATGCGGCAGGTAAAGAAACCGCCCCGGCCCGCCAGGGTGCTTACCCTGGCGAGTTGCGTGCCAGAGGTTGCCGATCCCTGTAGTAGATCAAAGCACATTATGGAATTTTAATGCATGGCAGCAGGGTCCACATGGACACTTATTCCATGGCAAGCTAGAGCAAGGTAGATTTACACCCTGGCTTGCTGTGAACTAAATATTCATATAGACAAGACCTTAGAATCATGGGGGCAGATCCTCCGCTGGTGTATATTGCCATAGCTTCGAGCTAGGCCACAGGCCCAATCCTGCAAACATGTACTGTTGAAATTAATGGGACTATTCATAATAGAGAGCAATAATAATGGGGAAAATTTTCAAAGGCATAAATGGGAATTAGGTGCCTAACGTCCATTCATTGTTGGTGGGATTTGGATGCCTAACTGCCCTTTGTGTTTTTTGAAAATCTCCCATAGTCCCAATAATATATTTGTAAAAAATCTAAACCAGTTCATGCATCCATCTTTTTATCTGAAATGAAAAGCAAGGCCATAGTTTGAGTATAGTTTATACCAAATGGGAGTGGTCTGCATGGAATCTGGTGTAAGCAGATCCTGCTGGCTGTCCTGACAAAGTGTGGTGTGTACATCACCTGAGCAATTTAGTTAATTTCTAAAATGAGACAAATGGCTACTAGAGCTAGCTTGAATAACAATAGCTGTGAAGCTGCAGCAGCTGGGGCAGCAGCACAGACCCTGGGTTATGTACTTGAGTGTCTAGTCCGTATGCTGCTTCCTTGGCTTCAGTGATATTGTTATTTGATCTAGCTAGATCAAAGCTACTCCAGTTGTGACTACATGTGCTGAAGTCACTCTAATTGAAATGTATTTGTGAATATTTCCCACTAAACTAAAATTTTAAAATAGCACAATTAATATTAATTATGATCTGAACATTTTTGAGGCAAACTACCAAACAATCCTTGTGTTGCAAATTCTTCTCCCATACTGGTAGATACTTGAAAAATATCAAAGACATGCAGCCTCAGTGCCAGGAGGATTGATAATGAGTTGCAAAGTCATTCAACTTCACATCACTGTGTGGTCACTGTTACATAATTTATATTTACCCTTGGGTACCATATAGTAATATTTGAGATACCACCAAATTTACCAATACTTAGAATGGGAAATAGGAGTAGTATAGATAATTGCCACTGTGCTCACTAGGTCAATAATGGCTGAAAGTTATCATCTTGTGGCTTTGTGGTGACCTGTATGAAATACTTTGGTGAGTCTCAGTCCAGTTCACAGTAGAGAGGTATCTGCTAGAGCTGGGTGGGAACCAGATTTTCTGTTTCATGGGATATTCCATAATTTAGAATTTTTTTCTGTTCTGAGACACAACAAAACCAAAAAAATTGAAATTTCCCATGACATGAAATAAAAAAAAAAATTAAATAAAATACAAATGTTTCATTCTGATTTCAACTTCTTAAAAAATTGTATTATATTACATAAAAATTTTTAAAACCCCGAAAAGCTGTTTGGAAACAAAACATTCCATTCTGAAAAGATCAAAATGGAACACTTCAGCCTTATCAGGATACTCTGTTACATTCTCCTGAAAGAGAATTCCACCAAAATCAACATATTTCCATGAAAGATGTAGTTTTCAACGAATCAGCATTTTCTGACAGAAAAATGTTCCATTGGAAAATTTCCAACAAGCTTTTATGTCCACATCACAAAGCCACCCGAGGCACTAACTGACACTTTTCTCTCTCATGAGAGAGGCCAAGAACTGAATGTCAAATTCATCCCTGTGCAGAAGACAAACGCCAGGCTTCTGAACCACTTGAGTTCCTTATAGGCCTTTCACGGGGCAAATTTCACCTGGCCTAAGCCCTGACATAATAATATCCTCTCACCCCTAGTGGTGGTCCTGTTCGCGGACTGGTGTTAAGAAGTTCACTTTGCCACTGCCTGTGCCAACCCTGTTCTGGGAGGAAGGATGGTCCAGTGATGAGGGCACTGGCTTAAGACATGGGGAGCCAGATTCAATTCCTTGCTCCACCAAGAACCGACCTCCTGTGTGACTCTGGACAAAGCATTTAGCCTCACTGTGCCTCAATTCCCCAACTGTAAAAAATTGGGGTAATAATGCTTCCCTATTTCAGAACAGGGTTGTGAGGCTAAACACGTTAGAGACTGTAAAGCGCTTTGAGGTCGACTGATGAAAAGTGCTATATGAGAGAGAGGCTTTACTATTATTAATTCTGTGGATAAACAGAGAACTACAGCCTCCAGGCTTGTCAATCTAGCAGCTTTCATGCGTGCTGCATTCACTTGAAAAAGCTTTTTAGTTGTTTTTAGTCATCTAATTCTCCACCCTGTTTTTTTGTGTTATATCAAATTTTGGATGCAAGTAGTCTGAAAGCAAAATCATGGGCAATATATAAAATGTCTTCCAATATCAGAGTTGTTAGCATAATCTTAAGGTTCACTTTAAACAGATACACAAAGTCATTTCAGTGCCAGATATAAACAACTGTTAAATAATTTAATGTGTATTTTCTCAACAGACATAAATTATTGAAAAGAAAATGGCACAACGAAGCCCAATCTTTCCGACACTTGCCCCTACTGAAAGGTACAGTCTGGCATGTTAGAAATCTAGAATCTACAGAGTGCAGGAGTATCTGTGCTTCTCCTTTAATTCTCTATTTACAATCATGCTTAACATTGTAGCTTTTGTACTTAATGCAACAACTAAACTAAATTAAATATTGTAGACATATACTCTGCTTATCCAAATCATGGGCCAAATCCTGAAGCCTTTAGCTTTTATTCAGTCCTTTTTCAAGGAAAACTTCTAGTGGCTTCAACTGTGACAGAGTGAAAACCGAGGACATCAGAACTTGTCCCAGTGGAAGTCTTTCATGAATAAGGAGTGAATGTAAAAATGTAGGGCCAAATTCTACCTTCATTTACACTCTGGTTGCATCTCCATTAACTTCAGTGAAATTACAGCACAATGTAAGAGAGAACAGAATTTAGCCTTCACTTCATGATTTGGCCCCTATGAGTATCAGATAAATACAGCATACAAGAAAAAAAGAAATAACTAAGGTGTATAAAGAAAATAAATAAGAGCTGTTTAAAGGCACAAAGGGGAATTAGGCACCAATGCTCATTGACTTTCAATGGGAGTTGAATACCTATTTTCTCTTTGTGCCTTTGAAAATCTTTCCCCCAAAAGATTACAAAACTTAACCTCTGTGAAAGACTGCGTTCATCGATGGCCAGATTTTCAAAAGTCTCAGCACCTCAGCAGCAACTATTGCTTTCAATAGAAGCTGCTCAGCGCGGAGCTCTTTTGAAAAATCTGCACAATTATTTAGGTGCCTAAATGGGAGCTGACCTCTTTTGAAAAGTTGCCTTAGAGACTGTGAGTAGCTTGGATTTTGTCCCTCCTGGATTTCCAAAGCTTTAGCATGTATTTATTCAGCTCCCAAGAGGAGAAGTTTTTGGATGCATACTCCAGGAGTAGCCTTATTGGAAGAGAAAAGAATGGATGCAGACTCAAGATATTCCTTCTTAGTCTATTTTTATTTAACTTTATTGCAGTTATTGCTTTGAACAAGGATGGAAAAAAAACAGCTGCAAAGTTTGCACATGTGTAGTAATACTTGCAAAATTTAATCAAAAACATTCTGAGTTCATGTTCCCAGCCAAACTGCTTTGTCTGTCTTAATTTGTCCCAAAACACACTAATATCCTTTTGTTAAGTGTACATGCCTGGGTTAGTCACCCTAAGTGAGATGGGGAGGAGGCCCTGACTTCCCTTTACACCTACCACTCATGGCAGCAAATGCTGCACCTGCTTATGTACAGCAGTGGGCCTCTCCCTGGAAGTGTTCAGGATTTCTGGGAGGTAGTATTCTTTCTAGAGGCACTCTACCTCCCAGTGCTTCTACTAAGGTGGTATCAATCTCACATAGATGGGTGTGGTTAAAAGCTACAATAGAGTTTTGAGTAAGGTCCTCAATATCTGGCAACACATTAATAATACATTTGTTTGAATATATTTCTTTTGTTAGACGGATTCGAAATATACCACTACACAGCCAAGCTTTGACCGCGGTCCCATTAGCATCTGCAAGTCTCGTGGATCAGCTAGAAGACAGAATTCTAAGCCATGAGAAAACAACTGCTGCCCTTGTGGAACACGCTTTTCGCATTAAGGAGGACATTGTTTCCACTTTGCATAGAATGCAGAACAAAGGGGGAGGAGATCGGTTGGCTAGGCAACTCTTAGAAGAACACATCCGAAACATAACAGCAATAGTGAGGCAGCTTAACCGGGACATTGAGGTATGTTCTGATTCTTTCCCGGGGCTGACACCATCTCTGCTATTGACTCCAAGTTTAATAAGAAAATTTAGTAAGATTTAATATGTGATGTAAGTGTAAGATCTGAAGAGTTTATAAACTGTGTGTACATCCTTACAAAGTGCATGCAGAGTATGTAGTTCTTTTTGCGGCAATAAAAAAACAGTACGGGGTGGCAGGACTTTAAATATAAATTCTACACAAACAGTTTCGTGGTGCTAATCTATTTCCTTTCAGCACAAAACTAGAAAACTTAGGAAATCATCAGTTAATGCAGCGCTAACATGCATTTCAACCTAAGTTTAAAGGCCCTACCACCTAAACATACTCACAGACTCCTCACCCCTGCAATAAAAACTCCCTTTCACTTTCCACATGCACCACCCACAATGCACACATCCAGGTGATCCACTCACAGTCAAATATGCAACCTTAAGCCTGACCTCTGCAGAAATTAGCAGGGTAGTGGTAGATGGACAAATATAGGTTAGTATTTCAGGGCCCAGTTCTGCTTCCAGTGTGACTTCAGTGAGAGTTGTGTGTGTGGATTGGGCCCTGAAAATCAGGAGAAACCATATATGAGTATAATGCACCACATTCTGCATGCCTATAAAAACAGTTGTTATTAAATTAAAAAATAGATTTTATATTTTATTTGGATTTAGCAAAATATAATAAGTGGCCTATTGAATGTATAATAAGTGACTTATTGAACTCCTATTTGCATATTAATGCCTTATAGACGCTGCAGGAACAGATACGTGTCAGGGATAACCTCAGTTATGGAACTAATTCTACCTTAAAGAGCCTGGAAATGCGGCAGTTGTCTGGTTTGGGAGATCTTCGGGGGAGAGTTGCAAGGTAAGTGTCGGTTTTGGGGATATTTTTTGCAATCAGCTGATTTTCTATTAATCTTGAAGTATGCCTTTTACATTTAATGACAGTGGCCCAAATTTAACCTTGGCCTAACTCCCAGAATGAATTTGGCTCAATGTTTTCATGGCAATGCACAATAATCTGCATTCCAGTATCAAATATTAAAACTAGTTACATGACTGTTAATTCTCGAAATTAGATTTCAGTAAATGGGCTTGAATTCTAAAAATGCTTCAGTTTGGTTCAGTTTTAGAAAGGACTGAGGTTCAGGCTGGGGTTTTTATGGAACTAACTCATTAGCTCACCTGTAATAAAGATACCATGGAACAGTTTGCGTTTCCAGGGAGCAATATAAAATTATATATTGCTTTTGAATGTATTTTAAGAAGTAGAAACAACTGGTTAATCTTATTAAACATTAGATAAACTACATGTTATTCCCAGGGTTTAAAGTAAAGGGGAGTGGAGGAAAACATAGAGTGATAGAGATTCTACAGGCCGAATTAAGCCCTCACGTAGGCCTGGTCTACACTAGCAACTTATGTTGGTAGAACTATGTCGCTCAGGGGTGTGGAGCTAACCTGGTGTAGACAGAGCTATCTCGACGGGAGGGCTTCTCCTGTTGACATAGCTACCACCTCTCGAGGAGGTGGATTAACTGTGCTGCCAGGAGAAGCTGTCCCTTCACTGAAATGCTGCAGTGGTGCAGCAGCATTGGTGCAGTTTACCTGCTGCAGCATTTTAAGTGTAGACAAGCCCTTACATTTTGTTTTTAGATTATACTCTCAATGACACCTGGGCAAACCTACTTACAGCTGACACCAATGACAATGAAGACACAATCGGAAGGTAGTGGGGTTGCACAGCTGTAGATGAGGACTTAATTTTGTGTACAGAATCTTGATTGATTACTTCTGCTGAATTACACCAGGGATGAATTTGTCCCATTATCTGGATTTCTGAAGACATTCCATTCTTTTTTGCTAGACCAGTTTTGTTAGTTGACTGCCGTTCATCTGAAATGATTTACTGATACCTTCAACAGGTTGGAAAAACTCAGCTGAGGAGGAGAAAGGTTAAAAGTTTCCGTAAGATTTCCTGGTGTCTGTGTTGGGCAGCATATAGTTTCCACATTGACTTGTTAGCCCAATTTCCAAGGAGTGGTTTAAACAGGGTTTAAAGCACTGATTATAGAGGACTGATTTTTCAGACATTCAGTCAATTCTTTTAAGTACAGCAGGAAAGAACAAAACCAGCTCTTGCTTTGTTGTCTTCAAGTCAGACAAACTATTGAACAATATTTATTTATCACTGAAGGGTCACTGCCAAATTCATCTGCATGAGTCTTCCTGCATAGCTCCCTTTCATATAAAGGATTCACAGTGAGATTTTACAAGATCCCATGTTTGGAGCAATACAATTAGTGCCAGCTTGTGCAGCCTTTATTCACATTGGTGAGTGCTCATTCATGCAAGTAGTGCCATTGAATTCAATGAGAGTACTCACATGAATGAGAACTTGCCAAAATGTGGCCCTAAATGGCAAAGCGCTTAAAATGGGGGATGATGGTGGGCTATCAGCACTTAGACCATTATTTCTTCTTGATATGTTTACTCAGGGAAGTTCACGCTTTCCCCCTGATAATTATAACTACATGACAGCTATTACACAAAGTGCAATGCTCAAGGTCAGTCATCAGAGTGCCTCAGGGGCTAGAAATTCATGTTCATTATTGAGACAGAACCAGTTTATTTTCTCTTGTTATTTGCTGTTTCGTGCTTCCCCATCAGGCATTTTGTTAAAATCTTCCCCGGGGAGGGAAGAAAACTTGTTTTACTTGTACAATGCTGAATTCAATTAGGACACTGTTCTGTGACAGTGAATTAACTGCCTTCAGTTACAAGCACATTTTGCTGTAAAAATTCCCACAACTCCTGATTATAATTATTATCATTTGTATTACAGTAGTGCCTAAAGATCCCAACTGAGACTGCAACCTCATTGTGCAAGGTGCTATACAAATACATAGTGGGAGACTGTCCTAAATTGCTTGCAGTTATTTAATCAATAATTTGAAATTAACTCACTTGTATAATTTCACCCAAACTGTTCCACCAGGAGAATCCAAAGGGTGAGTCTGGCCTGCTGGCTATCAGGCTAGATTTATGAGTTAACTTTTGACCAGCTTTTGTAAGAATTTGAGTGTTAATCCAGGGTTCTGGCCAAATATCAACGTGGGTGATTACATTCTGCCTATCTAAATTCCCCTTGCAATTTCAAATGGATATGGTATTATTTCTTGACTATCATAACCCATTCTGTAGTTCATCTCATCTGTACAGTGTTGAACAGCTATTCTGTTTCTTCTTCCAGGTTGCTGCATTTCTCGGTGAGTGTAGTATTATCCTTATAGACAGATGCTCTTGAAGCATAACCCAAATCCAAACTCCCCCAAATTCTGGAGAAGTTCAGACCTGAATCTGAACTTCACAGGTGTTCTCATCTCTATAAAGGGATGAGCCTAAATCCCTACAGCTGAATACCCTCCAAACTCTGGGAAAGTTTAAATTCAGATTCCAGCTTGTGCCTCATGCCCATCTCTACTTACGTATAATTTGCTAATCATTTTGTAAAACACTTTGAAATTGTTCAGCATGAAAGATGCTGTACAAGTTCACCATAAATTATTAATATTAATAATAAATAATCAGCATCATTAAGCTAAGTGAACTTTTATGAAAGATTTAGGAACATGAGAATTGCCATACTAAATCAGACTAGTTCTCCATCTAATCCAGCATTTTGTCTCTGAAGTAGCTGGTCCTGGCTACGGTCAAAGGAAGTTAATAGAAGCCCTGCAGAAGGCAGGTATAGGGAATAACATGCCCACAGGGAAAGTTTCTTCTTTATCCGCAGTAATGAGAGGTTGATTTATGCCCTGAAGAATACGAGAGATTATATTTCTTCCAAAATTATTTTTTTTAAATCTTTGTTATTACAGCACTGTATGATCTTTTCAAAGTGTCTTAGCAGTAAACTGATATACTGTAGCACACATATTCAGACGGTCCATCCAAGGTCCCACACACCAGTGAAGCCCACTGTTATGAGCTTCAATGGTTGTAAGTTATGCATAAATGCATAAATGTTTAAGTTTTGCCTTGCATTGGCCCCTCTGCACTGGGGTGCATTTCCTTGCTATATGAATGGAACAGCTGTTAAAACTTCTGTGCACAGTGAATTATGTTCATTATGTTTTTTCACAAAAGCATAAAAATCAAGAAATACTTTAAAAAAACTGATAAGCCACCATGGGTGGACTGGAATACTTTTTTATGCTTATTACAACTAGCTGCTCTTGAATATTGTTCTTTTGTCCCTACAACGTTTGCTCCTTGGTGAATTGTGGGTGTAATTCCAACAACATCTTGAGATTTGTATCATAAGACACAAAGGAATGCAAAAGCCCAGAACTGCAGCATGCTTTACAGAGTGAAGGTTTTATCTTGCATCTAGCAGGTGGAAGATTATTCTTTAAAACTATTTTAAAGTTTAAAAAAATCTTGGTCTTCTTTTGATCTGGTACTTGGAAATGCAGTTTGAGCTTCCCTCTTGCTTCTGGCTTGACCAGTCTCTTTTAACTTTCCATGTCATTATGGCCAGAATTTTTAGAAGGGCTCAGAACTCAGAATTGGGGCCAGATTTCTAAAAGAGAGCTCAGTTCCCATAAAGGCACCAAAATAAATAAATAAAAGCATCCTGGTGCCTATGGTATTTGCAGTAAGAAAACTCGCTGAAATGTTACTGTGCTTGTCAGGGCCGGTGCAACCACTAGGTGAACTAGGCTGGCGCCTAAAAGCCCACTCAGGCGAAGAGGTGGAGTGGAGGTGAGCTAGGGCGGGGGGGGCGCGGGGAGGGCCACCTTAGCTTCCACGGGGGGGGGGCTCCCCAGGCAGGGGGGGTGGCGGGTGGGGTTAGCTGCCGTGGAGGGGGGCTCCCGGGGGGGGGGGAGCGGGGGGGGGGGGGGGGGGGGTTGGGGGGGTGGGGGGGTGGCACAAGGTGGAAGTTTCACCTAGGGGGCAAAACTTCCTTGCACCGGCCCTGGTGCTTGTAGATTCTTCAGTAAAGTGATATACTGTTAAATTCTTTGGTTCCAGGCACATAGGAGTAAACAAGCATTGTGTGCTTGCTTACTCCCTTTTCCCCTGAGCAGGCAGATGTGGAGGGGCAGGGACTGACACATGCTGACTGTTCCTGACACACAACCGTCCCATCACTAATACATCCTTTGCTTGTGAGGCAGAACAGTGCATAATGTGTAACCACTGCTACCCTGAGTAGCTATCTTGCACATTTGAATATACATCATGCTACTACAAGTCACATGAGTGTTGTAGAGGATTTAGTCTTAAGTAAACCATTTTTGTACTTCTATGTACCTCCTGCTGTATAGTTCTTGGTTTGGTGCCCATATGCATGTAGCCACTAGCTACAGTCAGGATATGTCTGCACTTGGAGCTCTTGGTGTGATTCCCAGCTTGCATAGACATACTTGCACTAGCTCTCATTGAGGTAGCGCACTAAAAATAGAAGTGTAGCTGGGGTGCCCCAGCAGCAGCGAGTGCACAAGCTAGCAAAGTACAACCTGACTGAAACCTGTGGGTACATATGCCACTCAGCTACTCTATGTTGCTTCTCACTGTTACCCTGGCTGCACTACTGTTTTTAGCATGCTAGCTCAATGAGAGCAAGTGTGAGTATGTCTATGCGAGCTGGGAATCACACCCTTAACTCCAACTGTAGGCATAACCTCAGAAGTAATAGAATAGCAGACTCCCCTCATATTGTCCAATGATTTCTTAGCAACAAAAACACTTTTCAGTGATTCATAAAACTAAATACTCCTTTTGCTTACTGAGATTTGGAAGGCAGCTGCTCCATAATTGTGCAGTTTATTTTAAACACCACTGATTTCTGCAATTATACTGTATACTGAAACCCAGAATACTTGGTTTACAAAGTCAGGTCCTTCCATGTTATTTTTTATTTACTGAGTGCACGTAAGTACAGAAGTTAGTAAAGGATCTTGCAGTAAACATTCTTAAAAAACAAAACAAACAAACAACAAAATATACCTTTGGTCTAATCTCCAAAAATGTGTGCTTGCAATTGCACATGGAAAAATGCCTGTGAAACTAAGTGATTATTTGTATGGCCAAAATGGGCATATTAAGCATGAAAATGTACACTATGTATTTATATATTTGTTTGCACAAAATTCTAATTGCATGTATAACCCTAATAACTACACAAAATATTTTTATTTGGCCTTTGAAAATCTGTTAGGGTACAAAAAAGTTACTTTTTCTCTTTCGTCTTTATGTCCCACATGCATGCTTTTGGCTAGGTGTGTGGGCTTGGCAACATGATTTTGTTACAGATAAAAGCACAAGGAATTAATTAATACTGCAGGTTGGACTTTGATACATTTTTATTTAAAAGAACTTCATAATCACATTAGAGATTGACCAAAAAAGAACCTGAAACCAGAACTCGTTCAGATTTCAGAGGAGTATGACTGGAGCGGTGTTGGATTTGTATGCCATCCTCAGGGTTTTGTTACAGAGTAAAATTCAAAACCATAAAGAGGTTCTATTTTTATTCTAATTTGGATATGGCCAAAATCTCATTAGAATAGTCACTGTAATGAGATTTTGGCCCAATAGAGTTGAAGTCTCTTGAGATTGTTAGTTTGTCTTCAAACCTGAGGCCTAGCATAAACCTGAACCAGAGTTATTTTAAGAAACAGGTATTACTCAAATTGTAAATCATGCTATCTTATTTTTCTCCATTTTGGTTGGTACCATTTGAAAACCAGTGGAGACATTCATTAAACATTCTTTTATCATTACAAACCTTTAACTACAGATTTACACTAGTGTAACAGAGGTCAGAATCTGGCCCCATAGCTGCAGCATATCTGTACTTTCTTCTGGGCAGATACCAACCACATGTTTGAATGTACAGCACAGAGATATTCTCTCTTTTGACCATACTAGAGTACTGAATAAAATTTAAAGAAAATCCTAGTAAAACGAACATTAAGAGCATGCTGTCTTAACACTTTGAGTTTATGCCTCCACAGCTTTTCATATGGTACCAACCAAAATATACCTGGAAAAATATAAAATAATATGTTCAGTTTATTCCAGATTTACATCAGTGTAACTGAGATCAGAATATGGGATACTTTGGAAATCCCTTATGTTCTATACCATACAACCAGCTGCCCCCTACCAAATGTACTTAATTACACAAACAACAAAGATCCACTATGATCATATGCAGGGACGGTGCAACCACTAGGCGAATTAGGCAGCCGCCTAGGGCGCCTAGTGGTTGAGGGTGCCTAAAAGCCCGCTCAGGCGAGGAGGTGGAGTGGAAGTGAGCTGGGGTGGGGGACGTGGGGAGGGCCGCCCGCAGTAACGGGGGGGGGGGGGTTCACAGGGGAACCGCTCCCCGCTCCAGATCACCTCCACTCTGCCTCCTCCGCTGAGCACACCGCCCCCACTCTAATTCTCCTCCAATCGGCGCCACAAGCCTGGGAGAGGAGGAGAATTAGAGCGGCGCCAGCGGGCTCAGCGGAGGAGGCGGAGCAGAGGTGAGCTGGGGCGGGCTTCCCGGGTGGGGTTAGCTGCCGTGGGGGGGGGGCCTCCCTGGGCGGGGTTGGCTTCCGCGGGGGGGGGGGGGGGTGGGGGGGGGGGGGGGGGGGGCTCCTCGGGGGGGGGGGGGTGGGCGTGGTTAGCTGCCACGGGGAGCAGTAGCGTAGCTGGGGAGGAGCAGGGGGAGCGCCTGCTCCCCCGAGCCCAGAATTCCCCAAGCCTTTTCCAGAGCTGCTCCGTCTTTCGGCAGCCCTGCGCATGTGCCGCTCCATCTTTCGGCAGCATTTCGGCGCATGCGCCGGGCCGCCGAAATGCCGCCAAAGGATGGAGCGGTGCATGCGCAGGGCCGCTGAAATAAGAATAATTTTGGTGGCCCTGTGCATGCGCCGCTCTGTTTTTTGGCGGCATTTCGGCGCATGCACCTTTTTTCTCCGCCGTTCCTCCTCGGCAGCAACCCTGGCTATGCCACTGACAGGGGGTGGGTTAGCGGGGTGGGGGGGTGGCGCAAGATGGAAGTTTCGCCTGGGGCGTGAAACTTCCTTGCACCGGCCCTGATCACATGAGCCAAAAATAACAATGTGCCATAAAAATTATAGAAGCCTGTTGCATACATTTGCTACAGTAGTTTCAAAGCAATTGCTTTTTATACTTTTCTATGAGAACTCAGACACTTCTTGGAGTCCATGTGCTATTGGTGAATAGACACAGGATAATTTCATGTCTCTGGTTTCCACTAATGGTAACAACATAGAGGGCTTTAGCCTCTGTTCTTTCTCCAAATACTCCACAGATACTCTGGTCTGGAGGTCTGGTGGTACATCTTTAGTCCTATGTTGACTTTTTTCATAGATTCCAAGGCCAGAAGGGACCACTATGATTATCTAGTCTGACCTCCTGTATAACACTGGCCTGCACTTCCCCAAAATAGTTCTTGGAGCAGATCTTCTAGAAAAACATCCGACTTAAGTTGCTCTTGCTGCCCATATCACATGTTTGCTCCAGTACTCTGAGTTGCTAAATGATGACTTTCTAATGTGTTCTCACTTCTCTATGTTACTTTGCTTCTCTTATTATTTTCATATTGTAGTTCTACCATATTGCTAAGTGGCTTCTCTTCTGTTTGCCATGTGAGTTGTTACTTTCCTTTTGTGCTTCAAAGGTAACAGTGGTACTTGCTATAATTCAGATGATGAAAGTGCATCCCGGAGTGAATGCTTTCCAACTGAAATGATACAAAAAATGATTAAAATGTGAGATTAATTTGGATAATGGGTGAGCTTGCTGTTGCTTGTCACATTCCACTGCCTGCTCTTTCCAAAACCTTAACTGCTATCTGATCTTAATCAGTTCTATATATTAGATTATGTAACTATGACAGTTACATATTTCCCTTAACAAAAATACACATTACTCATACTTTTGAGAGGTCTTTCTCCTGAACCTACAGTACCTATATTTTTACAACTCAGTTAATGCACTTATTGTATTATTGTAGATGAAATCTATCAGTCAAAAATATTTCTGAAAAGTGGGAGAAAAAACACAGGCATGTACTTTAACACACCATTTGTCCTGAAAATATGGTGGAATTACAGAAGTATTCCAATGTGCAGAAGGGAAATGATCAATCTTATGGCCCAGTTCTGCCGTTCATAAGGCAAAACTCCCATTGCCTTTAATGGGAACTTTACCTGGAGAAAAAAACCCTCAAAAAACTAAGGACTGCAGAATTTGGCCCTGGAGTATTTAATATGGTTGCACGCTATTATTTTGTGAATAGAAATATAAATAAGCATGTAAAACCCAAAGCAGCTTAGGTGCAATAATTTAAATATGCTCTTTATAATTACTTTCTAATTGCTTCTAATAAGTAAACTGTGTGAGTGGCTGCCTGTGTATCAGACTAATGGCCAATTACACACACCTTAAGAGATGTCTGATGGATCATAAGGAATAGCATAAGGTATTGAAATTGTACATCCTTGAATTTGTAATGTGATTTCCATAAGCACACCTTTTGTCTATATGATCTCAGAGCTGAGATCTACCGCAGGATTGCACCTACTACAGTATGGAGACTTATACCAGTTATGGGGCAATTGGGTGGATGTTATGAGACATCAATATTTCTTTGAATCTCATAGAAAAGAAATGTTTTGCAGGAAAGACTGATACCTTCATAGAAACGTCCATTCTAAAATAGATATACACCTCTACCCCGATATAACG